AAGGACCTCTTTATTTGTTGGAAGACTCTGTTGTAAGCTGTTATAGTCTACGATAGTTAGCCTTATGATCACAACTATGTTCGCCATGTTGTGGCACAAACCATTTGTGTAAATAGTTGTGATATTTGTGTGGTCCATGTGTGGTATTTCCTTTGTAATTATGCTTGTACATATTGTTGTTGCTGATCCTTGATCTTTCTTGTTTTAATCCTTAATGTTGGTATGCTTGTTTTGTCCATGTTTAAGATTCTCCTACACTCCACTGATAGTTGTTCAAAGCTCAACCATTGTATTTTTTCTTGCTGTATGTATGCCTCATTTGCCATTCTATCTGCAAGCTGGTTCGCCTCTCTGAATCTGTGTATAATGAATGCATTTACCTTCCCCAGTAGCTCTTGTATTTCTTCTATCTCTTGTACATACTGCCATGGAATTTTCCATACCTTGTTTATGATTTTTGTAATGCCTAGTGAGTCAGTTTCCACAATAATCTTTGTGAGATTAGTACTAGAACAATATCTTAGGCCATTTAAAATTGCCTTGATTTCTGCCTCTAAACTTGTAGCCTCCCCTATTTTCTCTGCCTCTGCATGTATTAAATCCCCCAGATAGTTTCTTATGCAAAAACTATAAGCACTTTCCCCCAGATTTCCTTTGCTTGCTCCATCTGTATTGCACTTTATCCATTCACCCTGTGGTTTTTCCCAGGATATCGGCTTATTGTGCAGTATGGGTCTGTACCTCTTCAGCACTTCTATTGTACCTTCCCACTACTTAGGAATGTTAATCCATGGGAAAAGTGTTTTCAGTAATTTGAAAACAGACTCCTGACTATGTTGCTTGAGTTGTTCAAATGTTACTTCTTTTCCATGTCTTCTTGCATTCCTTCTTTTCCATAGCTCCCACATCAATATAGTTGGCATTGCCTGAAACACAACCTTCAATTTTGGATTGGCTGGGGCATCCCACCATTCTGTAATAGTGTGTTGTAAGCCTTCTTCTATTCTGAACCTGCACATGAAGCAAAATGCTTCCATAACTTTTGGGCTATGGGAGCTGTTAGAAAAAGGTGACTCATAGTTTCTTGCTCATGGTTATCACAATAGTAGCATCTCGAGGCCATGCTTATTCTCATTCTCTGAAGAATATCTTTTGTTGCTACTCTGCCTCTCCAACTTCTCCATAACAAGAAGTTCATCTTAAAAGGTACTCCTCTGCTCCAAATGCGACTCCACCACCACTCTTTCTCCTTTTTGTGTCTAAGCCCTTCATATGCTGACTTTACTGTAAAGACCCCGTTGGAATTTCCCATCCACCAAGGAACATCTACATCTCCTTCTTCAACCCTAGGGTCAATGTTTTCAAGAATGTATTCTGCCATTTCTCGTGATACAAGGCTTCTGATCTTCTGTTCATCCCATTCCCCATTCACGATGAATTGTTTTACTTCTATTTCTTTTTCTCCTGCTCGTTCTTCTGTGTAATACAGTGAACCTTGTTTTGTCCAGTTATCAAACCAAAAACTTGCTCCTCCTCCTTTGATCTGCCACCATATCTCATGCTCCATATCTTCCCTTACTTCTATCATTTCTTTCCATGCGTGAGAACCTCCCTTGCCAGTGGTCATTATTGGATGTTGCTTCTTGCAGTATTTATTCCATATGAAATTGCTCCATAATGAATTGGAGGTCCTAAACTTCCACCATAGCTTTCCAAAGAGAGCTTTGGTTATATCGTGAAGTGATCGAACTCCAATACCCCCTTCCTCCTTTGGGAAACACATGTCCTTCCATGCTACCCAGTGTTTTCCTTTTTCTCCTCCTGTCTTGCTCCAGAAAAATTCGGCAAAAACTTGATGCAAATGTTCGATGGTCTTCTTAGGTGGATTCATTGCTGAGAGCAAATATATTGGCATTGACTGTAACACATTTGCAATCAGAATAAACTTACCTCCATAAGACAACCATTTATTGTGCCATGTCATTATTCGTTTCTGTATCTTTTTCACCAGATCATCATAGTGTTCCTTCTTATTTCTTCCATAGAACACTGGACATCCCAGATATATGAATGGAAATGAAGCCTGTTTGATTCTAGTTATCCTTCTTATTCTGATTCCAACGATTAGAGGAGTGTTGTCATGTAAGTAAAAGAAACTTTTATTCAAGTTGATCATTTGACCCGACACATCTTCTTACTCTCTTAGCACCCTCATCATCATTCTTATTGATTTCCTATCACCTAAACAGAACAATATAGTATCGTCTGCATAAGATAAATGATTGATGGAAAGACTCCACTTAGGCATACCATATCCTCTAAACTCCGGCTTCTCATGTAGCTTATTTAACCCCCTTGCAAGTACCTCTGCTGCTATGATGAATAGGGTAGGTGATAATGGATCCCCCTGTTTTAATCCTCTAGATGATTGGAAAAATCCAAAGGCTTTCCTATTAACTAACACTGAATACAAATTATTCGATAATAATCTCTAAATCATACCAATGATAGTTTCTGAGAAGCTAAATTTCCTTAGGACTTTGATAAAAAAAGATCCAAGATACCCTATCATAAGCTTTTGCCATGTCCAGCTTCACTACTACATTATGATACTTTTTCCTTTGGTTAATGTCTCAGATGATCTCCTGGGCTAGCAAGACATTTTCAGTAATGCTTCTTCCTTTTACAAATCCCGTCTGATTTTGAGAGATAATGTTTGGTAACAACTTGGCTATTCTTTCATGTAGTACTCTTGAAATGATATTGCTCACAAATGTACATAAACTTATCGGTCTCAGATCAGTCAAACTCTTCACATTCTCCTTCTTTGGCAGTAATACAAGATTTGTATGGGTAATAAATTTCGGCATCATTTTCCCACAGAAGAATGCTTTGACCATGTTGATTATGTCTTCCCTTATAATTTCCCAACAAAATTGAAAAAACAAACCTGAGAAGCCATCTGGTCCGCTTGCGCTTTCCCCGTTTAAATAAAAAACTACATGTTTCACCTCCTCTTCGCTGGGCATCTTACTTAACTTCTCATTCTGATATGTGGTGATCAGGTTTGGTATTATATTTAACAACTCCTCACCTTCTTGTCTATTAGCTTCTCTAAATTGTTCCTCAAAGTAGGACACTGCCTCAGCTCCAATGTTTTCACTTGTATTGACCACATCGCCTTGAGAGGTTTGGATTTCTGTCAGCTGTAATTTCTTTCTTCTCCCTTTCACATAATTGTGAAAAAATCTGGTGTTCCTGTCTCCATCTTTGAACCATGTCATCCCTGCCTTTTGCTTCCAGAATTCCTCCTCTATATGCAAGAATTTTCTTAGTTCAACCTCCGTTTTCTTCAATTCAGCCCTATTTTCCTGTGAAGCATTAACTTCCAGTTGTATCTCTTTCACCTTTATCTCATCTTCTAGTGTAGCAATCCGTTGAAAAATGTTTCCAAACGTCTCTTTGCTCCACTTCGATAATACTCCTTTCAATTTTTTAATCTTTGTCTGATACACTAGAAAAGGGCAGCCTACAAACTCCACCTTCCAATTCTCTTATATTACTTTTTTAAAATTTAGATGTTTTGTCCAAAAGTTCAGAAACCTAAAAGGCCGCACTACTGGCTCTTCCTCCGAACTACATATTACATGTAGTGGTGCGTGATCAGAACATTCTCGCACCTGATGAATGACTTCACTAGAGGGGAGAATATCGAAAAATTCTTGGTTCCCAAAGACCCTATCTAGTCTTTTAAATATACACCCCCCTTCTATTCTACCATTCCACCAAGTGAATTTACTTCCCGAGTACTTTAGCTCCATCAACGCACAATTGTTGATGCACTGAGCGAAATCCAAAGCTTCATATTGAGTTAAATCCATGCCTCATTGTTTCTCTTCCTCATTCATTTTGACATTGAAGTCCCCTCCCACTAACCATGGTCTGTTTTGCACTTCAGTTAGGCCTTCCAGCTCTTCCCACAGTTCAAGTCGTTCTAGCGCATCACATCTTGCATAAACTGATGTTATCATAATTTCCTTATTGTAATATCTGAACTTCATTGTCAAATGTTGTATATTATCTCTTATCACTTCGCCATTCCACTCTTCCTTCCAAAAAATCCAAACTTTATTTGAGCAATTACAACAGGCATTGTGCATCCCCAACTTTCTTTTATAATGTTCTAGCTCTTGTTCCATTAGTGCTATGAAATTGTACTTGTGTCTTTTATTCAGGTCCATCAACCACTCGAAAGCCTTTTGAGATTTTACGGACTTGATGTTCCAGAAGATGGCTTTCCCAATCATTGGGAAACATCTCCTGACCTATCCCTGCTTCTTGTTTTCACTTGCAAAGGAAGTGAAGGTTGTCCTGTCTTGCCCTTTTTGACACTATTTTCCAAGTATTTTATTTGCATTGGCGACAAATCTCCCTCCCTTGACGTTGTGGCAATGCTTTCTACAATGTCATCATCATCTTCACTGTCTCCACGTCGTTGTTTCTCCACCTCTGTGACTTCCTCCAAGTCCGGCATGATGCTGTCTTCCTTTTCGTCAATTGTCATGTTGCCTTTTTTCCTCCCCTTTATTTGATACATCTCTTTCTTTATCTGTTTCTGCTTGTATGCCTTCCATATTACAACTTCTCGCATCTTCCTCGGCATTTCCTTTCCAAGCTGATTTTACTGACTTGATTGACGAGTTTGACAGGTTTCCCTTCTCCTTGTTTGACACTAATTTGTCCCTATTTTCTTTTGATCCACTACCTATAGTATTATTGTTTATTTTCCTAGAAATCTCTCATTCCCCTTCCCTTGACTCATCTCTGCTATCCTCTTTTGGTTGTTCTTTTGTTTCTCCAGATTTTTCATCATTGTTTAGAGCCCCAAATTTATTTTCTGTACTAACCCCTGCTTTCTCTTGTTGTGTGTTTTTCTTATTCCATACTTGTTCTATTTTACTTATGCCTTGGTGTCTCCAGCCCCCTCCCTTTCTGTTTTTCTAGTCCTTGAATTCCTCTGTTTCCTTATTTTCTTTGTGCTCTTCTGTCCTTGGATTTGCCAGTTCCATTTCTTTCTGCACCCCTCGTTTTTCATTCTCATCATCCTCCATCTTGTCTTTAGGATACAATTCAGGATGGATGACATAACATTCATGTTTATTGTGCCCCTGAATTTTGCAGTTCTTGCAGTATTTTGGCATGTAGTCATATTTAATCTTAATCCACTTCTCGCTGATTTCTCCTGACTGTCTTCTTAGTCCCACATTGATTCTTTTTGGAAAATCTCTCAGAAGATTCACTTCTACTTTGACTCTTGCACAACTTGGTCGAGTTTGATTTCTAGTCGCTAAGTCCACTTGTAATGGTTTCCCCACGGATGCAGCCAAGGAAAACACTACCTCTTTAACAAAGAAATTCGGTGGAAGAGCTGGGAAAGAGATCCACGCAATCGCCGTGGATGTTTCTTCTTCCGGATCAAACATCGGCTCCCACTTTAATGTCCTCATTGTGTATGTCCATCCTCTGTGAGTTATGTAGTATGCTGGTTTTGACAAAAGGCTCACGTAATACTCCAAACATGAAGCCTTAATCAGAACGTGCCTATTGCTTAATAGTCCAATTTTGCATTTACTTTTCAATTCACATTGTTTAGGAATTAGTCTCCTCAAATCTTGAATATCTGGCAACCCGTAGGAGAATTTTTCGATAACTACATACTCTAGATCTCCTTTATAATCATTTGCTCTACTTCATCTTCATCCCATATGATCCTGGTCTCTTCGTGTAAATATATGACTGATTTCATGGAAAAAGGCTTCACTTTTGCTTGTGGGGGGCATAATGTTGCTAAAAAATTCATTTTTGGTGTTGTGTTTGCATCTGTAGACGCTAGATCAGTCCCAGTGGAGGGTTGACCAGGTGTGCTGGTGGCCATTGCCACCGGAGAAAGAAAATTGAGGTTTGGCGGCGGCGATATTTCCCTAATATGTTTTTTTTATTTCTAAACTGTATATACCTATTAGCAGTCTTTTCGGACGAAGCAGTGTCACGTGACACCCCTTACCCCTTCCTAAATCCACCCCTGGTGATTGTAATGTGATTTCCATAAGAGAAAATGTGAACTTGTCTCCTTCTAGAAAGCTCTCAATTCAGTTTTTGAGTAGTTAGATAGCAAAACTTAATATGGTATCGAAGCATACGATCGAGAGTTCATAGAAAGTAGAAGTCTTGTTCGTTTCTTAAAAGATTCAACAATTGTGGACAACATTGCTATAAATGGTGAACAATCCATTGTCACTAGAAATTGATCCACAAACTGATCACAATCATCCTTTCCACCTGAAGTCATTTGATACTCCTAGTGTTGCCTTGATTTCAATAAAGCTTACAGGTCCAGAGAATTATGGATTATGGAGCAGATCAATGCGTCTTGCACTACTAGTCAAAAACAAACTTGGATTTGTTGATGACACATGTGTTAAGAGCGTGCACAGATGAGATTTGGCAAGATTAGAGAGATATGATGCAGTTGCACTATCATCGATCAATGTAATAGTAGTACCAAAATTGTTACCTAGAATTGTGTATGCACCGAGTTCGAAGAAGATCTTGAGTGATTTCAAAAGGAGGTTTGATAAATCTAACTTGACTAGAAATTTTCATTTGTGGAAGGAGATCAATATATGACTCAAGGAACAGATTATGTGACCATATACTACTCTAAGATGAGAACTCTATGGGATGAAATGGATGGCATGGTACCATCTCCCTCGTGTGATTGTCAGGAATTTGGTTTTCATGTTGAGTACGTTAGACACTAAAGTTACTGCAGTTAATGATAGGGTTGAATGAAAGTTATATACAAGTAAGAAGTTCATTTTTTCTTGGTTCACAAGTTCCAAGTGTGAATCTGCCTTATGCAATGACAGTTCAAGTTAAGAAAGTTAGAGGAAGTTAGGTATGATGGAAGGAGGAAATGATCCTTTGACAATGCTAGACGAAAAGGGTTCGAGATTCAACAATCAACCTTATAATTTGCAGTATCAACCTCATAATATCCAGTCATAAAGGTTCAAGGTCAGAGCTTTTAGGGAAGGAAATTAGGTGTGATATGTGAACACTGTGGATACAAATGCCATACAAAAAAGACTCATTACAGAATTGTAGGTTTTCTTACTGATTTCAAGAGCTAGAGGAGAGTGTCTATAGATGAGGACAACATGGCTTATACTCATATCTCAACAGCTGAAGCTGAACCATTTACTCTTGGAAGAAGTATAACCTCGGGATCTCATTTCCACTTTTCCGGAGGTTATTTCACATGAGAACAATATGATTAGGTGCTCAAGATGATGGTTCCTTAGCCCACAGGAAGTTGTAAGGCCAATGCTACAACAGGTATGCATGCAAAGACTGATAATGTAAATAATGCAGGAATTACTCTAGAGTCACACATCATGTTAATTATTATGATAGAATTCTACATAACCGCAAACAATTAACACAGTCAAATCTTAGTAAAGTAAAAATGCCTACTGGGAATAAAATTTAAATAGAACATATTGGTAATGCGTTGATCTTGGGTAACTGCAAGCTAAAAAATATTCTACATGTACCAGAATTCAGATTAAATCTATTATCAGTTTTCAAGCTCACTAAGCATCTAAATTGTGTGGTTTCTTTTTATCCTAACCTATGTGTAATGTAAAATCTCTATACTGGGGATGTGATTGGGATTGATAAGGAAGGAAAAAGGTTTTACATTCTCAAGTATGAAGTGGTACCAATAGTTGGAGCAGTAGTTACAGACAAGAGGATATGCGAATTGAAGCTATGACATATTAGATTGGGGCATCCCTCTATGAAAGTAAAAAAAAACATATTTCTCTTTTGAAGAATAAAGTAGATACTAGTGTGCAAGAAAAATGTATGATTTGTCCCTTTGCCAAACAATGTAGACCCAAATTTCCCTCTAGTATAACTAATCCACTAGTTTGTTTCAACTTATACATATAGATGTATGGGGACCTCACCACCATCCCATCTATGATAGAAATCATTACTTCCTGACTATAGTTGATGATTATAGTAGATTTACATAGATCTCTTCGTTACAGTCTAAGACAGAAGTAACAATTATATTGAAAAGTTTCCTTTCTATGATTTGTAATCAGTTTGGTTGTTCAATAAAAGATAATGGTACTGAATTCTTCAATACTCAAGTAAATGTTTTTTATCTTCTTTAGGTTGTGTACATCAAAGTAGTTGTCCTTAAACACCACAACAAAATTGTGTTCTTGAAAGGAAACATAGACACATTTTGGAAATAAGAAAAACATTAAAATTGCAGTCTCATGTTCCTAGATTCTAGGATGATTGTACCCAAACAACAGTCATCTCCTTAATAGACTACCTACTACAGTGTTGGATGGACAATCGCCTTATGGGATGTTGTTTGGGAAGCCTCCTAGTTTTGGAAAACATAAAGGATTTTGGTTGTTTATGTTTTGCTAGTGCACTATCTAAAGAAGACAAATTTGAGGCAAGAGCAAAGAGATCAGTCTTATTGGGGTTTTCTTCCACACAAAAAGGGTATAGGCTATATGATTTGGATACAAGGATTGTGTTCATTAGTAGAGATGTAGTCTTTAGAGAGGATGTGTTTCCTTTTAAACTTTTGAACTCAGATGAAGGGATTTATCCTTTAATGTCACCTTTTATAGATGATACAAGTACATATGATCATGACTAGTCCATTATGTAGCCAGTGTCACATTTTATTCCCAGTGCAGTTGATAATTCAGAGATATCTCCTATCACTAATGTAGTCCATAAGACTATGATAGAGAATGAAGAAGCTGAGCCGATGCTGATGATCCTATGCATCAAGATGAGCTCAAGCTGGAAAATGTTGGTCCAAGAAAGACTAGTAAAACCACTAGACCACCAGTATGGATAAAAGACTACATTGTGCCCCAAAAGATTTATCCTGACTCCATAACCAATAATGTTTGCTATGATAATATATCCACCAGTTATCAGAGTTATTTACATGACTTCAGTGGAGCCTCAGTCCTTTCATGAGGCCTCTCAATACAAACTATGGCTTGATATCATGCAACAAAAGATACAATCACTAGAAGATAAAACACATGGACAATTGTAGACTTGCCTTCTGGTGAAAAGGTCATTGGCTCAAAGTGGGTATATAAGATCAATTATAAAGCCACTAGTGAGATGGATAAATACAAAGTTCGATTAATTACTAAAGAGTACACTTAAAGATAAGGTCTTGATTATCGTGAGACTTTTTCCCCAGTTACAAAGATGGTCACAATCAAAACGAGTCAAATCTGAAAGCTTCACATAGCTGGGATTTATCTCAAATGGATATTAATAATGTCTTTTTACAAGGTGATCTCCATGAAGACATTTACATGGATCATTTTCTTGGCTTGCAAAGACATGGGAGAACAAGGTGTGCAAGCCAAGGAAATCATTGTATGGGTTAAAGCAGACCTTTAGACAATGGAATATCAAGTTCACTTAAGCCTTGTTGACAGCATGATATTCTCAGAGTGCTCATGATCATTCTGTATTCATTAGAAAAGAAATAAGTGATTTAGCAATAGTTTTAGTCTATGTAGATGATCTTTTGATGTAACACCCCGACTTTTCAAAACGTCTAAATTAACTTGTATCTTCGTGGAAAGATAAGGAGGGTGAGTAATAAATTAATAATGACGTGGTATGTCATATTTTAAGCGTTCAAGGGTTGTATCTCAAGTTTGTAAGTAAGGTAAGTCGCAAAATAAAAGTGGGCGAAAGTTATCGTAAGTTCTTTTTTAAAGATTTCTCTAAAATTTGAGTCAAATGTATTGGATGTTTTCTCCCAATATATAAAGAATTAGAAGACCTATTACCCATTAAATCGAAGACCTACGGGTTTAGTTTGCAACGCACAAAATCCCGTATCCAACCAATATCAGAGTAAAAAGTTATGATGGTTTTACTAGGGACTGTCAGGGCAGAATTCGGGTCGGGTCAAAAATATGGTATGTCGGCTTATTTAGCGTTTTAAGCCATGAAAACATTTCATTTCAGTTCCAAAACCAGAGAGAAAGCTTAAGAGAGGGTTCATATGTCCCTACACGTGGCAATCGTTTTTCCCCTTCTATTAGTTGTGTTTGGAGTTGGTTTTTGAAGATATAAATTTGTAGTTATTGGTATTTCTTCAAAGTTTAAACTTGGTTAACTAAGGTAATCATCTCGGGACTCTTTTATGATTGTTTTTATGAATTTCTACAGGCGTTTCGACAAGTTGGGGCAATATGGAAAATCTGCCGATATAAGATTAATTATGAACTATTTATAGGTGCGTACCAGCTGTGTATATATAGTGTTTGTGAAGCTTAGGACATAAGGAACAACTTTTGTGAAGGAACTACGGTCTTTCGAGCGTTCATTGGAAAGGCATGTTAAGGTTATTCCATTCGTTCGACATGTTTCCTTAGATGTAGTTAACGTTGGTGATCTTGTAGATGTAATTGTGAGTGGTTGGCTGATTGGGTGGTTATAAACCCTCATTTTAGGGACTCACGATCTGTTAAGAAAGACCCTAAATTAGGAACGACTTGGAGATTATTCATACATTTTGTTTATAGCTAAATTGCTCGCCTTCAGCCTATTTAATTGTTTGTTGTCGCCCTTGGGGATATTGTGGTTAGCTGTTGAGCTATGAACTGCCTATGGGGACTATGATGTTGTCTAATAGGACTATGTTATTGCCAAAGAGGGCTATGTGTTGCCCACGGGGCAATATTGATGTCAAAGAGTGTTATTTGTTGCCCACGGGGCTATTTTGACACCAAAGAGGGCTATGTATTGCCTACAAGTCTATGTGATGCAAAAGATGGCTACGTGCAGCCCACAGAGCTATAATGTTGCCTAAGAGGGCTATGCACTGCCTACGGGGCTATGTCGTTGCCAAAAAGGGCTATGTGACTCCTTACAAAGATAAGGGGCTACCGATAAGGTTATGTAGATTGATTTGGCACCTTCTGGGCTTATGAGGGCCTAAGTAGGTGGTATGTTGTTTGTACCTACTGGGCATATATGGGCTTGGTTAGGTTGATGTTTGATCATTATTGTATTTTATTAGATTCAGTAGTGGGTTGGCATGTCTATCTAAATTTGATTTCCTTACCTGATTGTTTTTGGTATATTATGATACTTGCTCATTTAGTCTACAGCCTTTCATACTCTGTACATTATTTTGTACTGATGCCCCATTGCCTGAGGGCGCTGCATTCATGCATGCAGGTCCTGACAGACGACCGAGTAGACCTCCTCAATAGCAGGATTGACTTCTATCCGGTTGGCTAGCCCCTTTCCTCCGGAGCTGCCAGAGTTTGGAGGTTTGTTATATTTTGTTGTGTATATTTTTATGGGTAGGCTGGGGCCTATCCCACCAATCTTTGCTACTCTTAGAGGTTTGCAGACTAGTGTGTGAGGTGTATAGCTACGTTATAGCCATACTGGCCTAGGTTGTTGTTTTGCTGAAGCTTGTGAGTTGTTTGATGTATTGTGTTGATATATTCCTGCTTTTAGTTTTGGTATAGATTTCATGGTGGCCTTGACGGCTCAATCAGGACTTCTGTGCTAGTTGGTCTGAGTGGAGCCAAAGCAGTAAGTACTCATTTAGAGTTCAATTATAAGATCACCAGTGTGGAATATGATCAATATATTGGTAGCTCTAATGATCTTGAACTAGAAGATGCTACAACCTATCAGAGGTTGATTGGTAGATTGTTATGCCTTACAATTACTAGGCCTGATATTTGTTTCAGTGTGCAAGTTTTAAGCCCATTTATACAACATCCTAAAACTTCACTTTGGGAAGCAGCACTAAGAGTTGTGAGATACATTAAAAGGTCTCTGGGACTTAGAGTTTTGCTTAAGAAGGGAACTGAATCTACAAAGCTCATTGGATATTATGACTCAGACTGGGCTTCATGTCCTAATACAAGACGATCACTTACAGGTTATATGGTAAAACTTGGAGATTTCTCGATCTCCTGGAAGTCGAAAAGCACAAGTCAGTAGAAGCTCTGCTAAAGTAGAATATAGGAGTTTATCATTTTTAGTTGTAAAGTTGGTTTGGTTGACAAGATTACTTAAGGAGTTGCATTTTCCAATCTTAGTGTTCACATAAATTATTTATCCAAATAACTGAGAATCCAGTGTTTCATGAACGTACAAAACACATAGAAATTGACTGTCATTTATATCAGTCCTCAATATCTATGCACTGCTATGCAACCTGCTGATATTTTTACTAAGGGACTAGGTGTTGCTCAACATCACTTTCTATTGACCAAACTTGGTGTGTTAGATGTCTTCCACCCTAGCGTTTGAAGTGGAGTATTGAGCTATAGAGGATTATCTTAATAGTCAAGTAGTTAATTTTCGGTTACAAATTCTGTTAAAGACCATGTGACTTTCCATGCACGTGAGTTAGTTAGAAACTAGTTGGATATAATTTCCTTTTAAATATATACAATTCTGTGTTGTACAAGTCAAGTGATTGTAATGTGATTTCCATTCGAGAAAATGTGAACTTGTTCTCCTTCTAGAAAGCTCTCAATTCAGTTTTTGAGTAGTTAGATAGCATAACTTAATAATATTGATATAAATTTTAATATTATTTATTTCATACACGTATGAAAAATTATACTCCTTCCATCCCATTTTATATGAATTAGTTTGACTTGACACAAATTTTAAGAAAGAAAGAAAGACTTTTAAAACTTGTGATCTAAAATATGTGATAAATATTTTTGTGACTATAAATCATTTAAAATGAGCATTTTAAAGTTAAAGTTGTTATATTAATATATAAAAATGTGTCATTTTTTTTAACCGACTAAAAAGAAAAGTGAGTCATATAAACCGAAACAAAAAGAGCTATTAATTTTGTGATAGCCTTGTTTTGAACCGAAAACTATAATTTCATGATTATAATTAATCTTGGATGGCTAGCCTTGTTTTGAAACAAACAACAAAAGAGTAACCTTGTACTGATAATAATTCGAAGTCAAATTAATACTTGATCCAAGTTAGTCATGAAAAATTGTGGCTAATTAAAACAGTTCCTCAGAAAACTTTTTAAATTTATAAATAGAGACAACAAAACTTCCTTTCCTCTACATCCTTTCAATAGCAATGGCACAAAATGTAGGATCCAATTTCTTCACTGTTAAAAACTTAAAACTTGGATACCATTTTCTAATCTCTCACACACCTTACCTCTTTATCATTCCAGCCATTTCTGCTTTGGGATTTTATAACCTTTTAACTATAACTACCTTAGAAGACTTGAATAATCATATTATTCTTATGCTAAAATCTTGGCCAATTATTATTATTTTCTTCGCCGCTCTCTACTTGATCAGGGGTCGTCCAAGAAATGTTTACTTAGTCGATTTTGCATGTTACAAACCAGATGAGGCGGATATGATGAGCAAACAACAACTATTAGACATAATGTCATTAACTTTTGATGACGAAGCTGTACATTTACAGAAAAAAGTATTGGAGAAAAGTGGTTATAGTGACAAAACGTATGTTCCAGAGGGTATCAGAAGGCTACCTGAAAAGTTATTGACGTTTGAAGAGTCTAGGAAGGAAACAGAAAAAGTCATGTTTGGAGCCATAGACAATTTATTGGCGAAAACAAAAGTGAAGGCTCGTGAAATTGGGATAATTATAGTGAACAGTGGCTTATTTAATCCAACACCCTCTCTATCCTCTATGATAGTTAACCATTACAAGCTTGGATCGGATGTTCTCACTTATAATATCAGTGGAATGGGTTGCAGTGCTGGACTCATTTCTATAGACCTTGCAAACCGGCTTTTGCAGGTTAGTTCACTATAACAAAAACAACTTTTAGCGGCAATAAATAGACATATTAATAAAGAGTGCTAAACTCTTTATCGACATTAGTTAAGTATCATTAGATCCAATATTGCTAAAGCCTTTAGGGACATATACAAAGAATGTTAATTGCCGCTAAAAATATATATTTAGCGGCAATTGTTAATTAATTGCTTGCTAAAAATTATTTTTGATGTAGTGGTTAGACATTTATTACTCTATCCATACGTTTGATTCTATGTATATTCATATACTACTTTGTTAAAATTGTAAAACAGACACAAGTCAGTGCCTATGCGATGGTAGTTAGCACAGAGAGCATCCATTGTGGTTCTTATCTTGGAAATGATAAATCAAAGCTTGTATCAAACTGTCTTTTTCGTATGGGTGCTGCTGCCATTCTCCTCTCTAACTGCTTCTCAGACTCTCGTCGTTCCAAATATAAACTTATGCACGTTGTGCGTACACATAAAGGAGCTGATGACAGAGCTTTCAAAAGTATATATCAAGAACAAGATGAAGATGGAAATATTGGCATATCGCTCTCAAAAGGCCTAATGGTCGTAGCTGGAGAGACTCTCAAATCAAATATAACGACTCTCGGGCCATTAGTCCTTCCTATGTCCGAGCAACTTCTATATTTTGGGTATTTAATTGCTAGAAAAATCTTTAAATTGAAGAATATCAAGCCTTATATCCCGGACTTCAAGTTGGCGTTTGAACATTTCTTCATTCATGCTGGAGGAAGAGGAGTGCTGGATGAGATGGAGAAGAATCTTGACCTCACGGAATGGCATATGGAGCCTTCAAGAATGACGCTTTACAGGTTTGGAAACACATCGAGTAGCTCGTTGTGGTATGAATTGGCCTACTCTGAGGCGAAAGGGAGGATAAAGAAGGGCGATCGAGCATGGCAAATAGGTTTCGGGTCAGGATTCAAGTGCAACAGTGTTGTTTGGCATGCCCTGAAGACTATTAATCCTGCTATGGAGAAAAATCCCTGGACTGATGAGATTCATGACTTTCCAGTTAATGTCCCTCTAGTCATGCCTCTTTCTGTTTGAATATTTACTTGTTAGTTGTCCCAAATGGGAAATAATGGAGTAATTGTTTACCTGTAATAATAAATATGGACATTTATAACCAACTCTCTAATGTAAATGCTGCTAAAGGCTTTTAGCGATTATGAATACAATGATATTAACTCAATTGCCTAACTAGAAAAATGTACTGCCATTACTAAATGTGTCTTTCGTCCTAGTGGATAGGTTCATTACCAGTTATGATAGATTATGTTAATGATTAAAACCAAAAATATGAGTACTATTTTTATGTCAAATTCTTCTCGTTCTGTATATCGGTCTGTCTCATGAACATACACAAAGTATAAATTCATGACCTGATGATAGACGACCTATGTCTAAAGGCAGAGAAATCGACACCATCAAAGCGAAAATTTGAATAATAAGATTAACAAAAAATAATATTGCAGATTCTTTTGTGAATGGTCAACGTGGATCATCATCATATATATATATATATATATATCTTATTCACGCAAACCTATAAAAATGGTTAATGAAAATTTTATTAGTTAAATACAATAATGTATATATTTATTTCAATTTGATGAAGTTCAATCATGTAATTAGTCTTATCTCACTAATATTGCCTTATAGACAATATTTGCTTTGTATAGTTCTTGTCATCTAACCAGATGTGTTTTGCATGTGTATTCCACGCTAAATTGTTTAGATGTAATATGAACATGTGAAGAGAACAACTACATTTTATGTATTCACATATTTTCACATTTGTTGTGAGTAATTTTTTTTAAAAAAAACTCGGAACATTTTAAAATAATATTTTTTGAACTTAGAAGATCTTGTTAATTTGATAATACATTTGTGACATATATAATACTTTAATTAAATACAAATACTTTCCCAAATATAAATATAGATTTGCATTAATGAAAATATCTATCTCATAAAATTAACTATTAAATAAATAATAAAAATTAAACTAATACAAACTTCAACTGGCGCTATTACAAGTCATATGAATTTTTATTCGTGTAAAATACTAAAATATTAAGAAATAGTAAATAAACAAAACAAAATGGTAATGTTTGTATAGTAATAACTATTTTGAAGCAATCTTTATGAAAGTCTAAATCACATAAGTAACATTGATAAATAGTCATTCTTTTGTCTTGAGCATCAAAAACAAATTGTGACAATTATCTAAATTTTGGAAAAGATATTCAGAAGCATATATCTACATCACAAGAGAAATTGTTAACAAAAACAAATAAATTTAGACTACATCATGTTAACTTCATATATTGGAACATTACATACTAATGTATATATTAGGCAAAAAAATAATTATTATATCATCAAAATAATTTTCCTCAAGTACTCGAGGTTATGGAATATACCCTCTTAGGATAGAATGACTTACTTCATCAGAATAGTGGTACCTCATATTCCGCTAAACTTCGAACTCACTCTGCAACAATAAATCACACAAAAAAATTTAAAATGCAAGAAGAAGATGAGTAGATGATTAAAAAAATTGTGGTTGAAAAATGAGAGGAAGTCCCTCTATTTATAGTTAACAAATGATAGTATGAACAAATGTTTTTTGTGTCTTATCTGAAAAGTCAAGACCTTTTCACGAAGTCACAACCCTTTGGAAAAGTCACAACTTATTGAAAAAGTCACAACTCATCGAAAAATCACAACCCTTCAAAAAAAGTCACAACTTGTCGAAAAAAGTCACAACTTGTCGAAAAAGTCCCGACTCATCGAAAAAGTCACAACCTAAGTTAGGGATATTATAGTAATTTAACATTCAATTTAGGAGTTCATGTTTTTAAGGTAATATAGAAGATTTGCTTTGTATTTTTCTTGTCATCTAACCAGATGTGCTTTGCATGTGTATTCCACGTTAAATTGTTTAGATGTAATATGAACATGTGAAGAGAACAACTACATTTTATATATTAACATATTTTCACATACGTTGTAAGTTTTTTTTAAAAAAAAAACTCAGAACATTTGGAAATAATATATTTTGAAGCTAGAATATCTTGTTAACTTGATAATACATTTGTGACATATATAATACTTTAATTTAATACAAATACCTACCCAAATATA